CTCGTAGTCCTACAGCTGGAGGAGCTGCGTGAGTGGTACTTACAGTACTGCAGCCTCAGGAGAGGTACCCCTAGAGCTAGGCGTACTACTGGGACTGGTGCTAATGCTTCTCCTCCTAGTCGGGAGCTCCCCTCCCGTGAGCGGATCCGTGAGTGGTACGAGCGGCGCTGCACTCTTCAGAGTGGTGCGCCTCGTGTCGCGGACCCCGCTGCTGCTCGTGCTGCTGCTGATGCTGCAGACCCGGGCGTTGGAGCTGCAGCTAGTGCTGAGGACCCGGGCGTTGGTGCTGCGGCTTGTGCTGAGGACCCGGACGTTGGTGCTGCTACTGGTGATGAGGACCCGGGAGTTGGAGCTGCTGTTGTTGCTGAGGACCCTGGTTCTGGAGTCGTTGCACGGTCGCGGTCGTAGTTCGTTCCGCTCCTTCAGCAGTTTCTTGGTCAGCTCCCTCCTCCTTGTCCTCCTCCCTCCTTAGGGTGTCCTCCGTTTGTCCAGCTGCAGTCGCAGCTACCTTCTGCCTCCTCTCTCCCTGGTCCTACTCCTTACACTGGTCTGACTGGAGGTCTTATTGAGCACCGTGAGCCTGAGTCTCGTCCTGCGTCGCCTGAGTCTCGTCGTGCGTCGCCTGTCCGTGCTGCTCTCAGTGGTAGTTGTGTCCCGCGTCAGCTTCTTCCTCCTGTCCCAGGCACTCACCAAATGGCGCTTCGTCCCTCCACTGCTCCACACCGTGTCCCACTGCCATCTCCTCTTGCGTCCTCTCTTCCTGCTCTTGCTGACCCGGGGTCAGACTCCTTTCATGCTGCTAGTCCTACTGCCACGCGTCTCTTGGCTACTGTTGTCACTGACCGTTCCTTTGAGTCCGCTGCTGCGTCTGCCTTAGTTGCTGAGCTTGTCGACTTTGCTGCCACCTGTCGTCTAGACTACGCCGCTAGCCTAGTTGCTGAGTCTGAGTCTGTCTGTCCTCCGTTCGCCGGGGGTGAGTGTGCTCTTGGCACTAACGTCCTTGAGGACAGGCAAGAGGAGTTTGAGTGCTTTGCTGCTGCTTTGTCCCATCTCGTGTCCATGCTTGTTGCCCCCGAGGGAGACCCGGATGCACCAGACATCCCGACCCCACGCTCTTACGCAGAGGCGATGGCCGGTCCCGACTCCTCTCACTGGCAGTCAGCCATGGATACAGAGATGGCTTCCTGGAAGTCCACAGGCACCTATGTCGACGAGGTTCCCCCGCCTGGGGCGAACATCGTCAGTGGCATGTGGATTTTCAGGGTGAAACGGCCGCCGGGCTCTCCGCCTGTCTTCAAGGCGCGTTACGTTGCACAAGGCTTCAGTGAGCGAGAGGGAGTTAACTTCTTCCAGACCTTCTCCCTAACCCCGAAGATGACCACTCTTCGGGTTCTGCTGCACGTCGCCGCTCCACTCTCTTGACTTCAGCACTGCTTTCGTGCAGGGCAGCCTGCACGAGGAGCTCTGGCTGCGCCGCCCACCTGGCTTCACTGGGTTGTTCCCTCCTAGTACCCAGTAGAGCCTCCGACGGCCAGTCTACGGTCTCTGCCAGGCGCCACGTGAGTGGCACGACACACTTAGGACTACACTTGCGGCTCTTGGGTTCGCGCCTTCTACTGCTGACCCGTCGCTGTTTCTACGCACCGACGCCTCACTGCTGCCGTTCTACATCCTCGTGTCTTTGCCACTGCTGACACTGCGGCACTCACCCACGTGAAGTCGGAGCTGTAGAAGAGATACACGTGCACAGACTTGGGTGAATTGACAAGCTATCTTGGCATGCGGATCACCGGGGAGAGAGCACGCCGCACCATCACCTTGACTCAGTCACACATGGTGCAGTAGGTCCTTCAGCGCTTCGGCTTCACATACTCCTCGCCTCAGCCCACTCCTCTGCCTACTGGTCACTCGCTCTCAGCTCTGCCTTCGGATGAGTCCGTAGAGCCGAGTGGCCCGTATCCAGAGCTTGTGGGTTGCCTCATGTACCTGATTACATGCACTCGACCTGACCTTGCATACCCTCTTAGCATTCTTGCACGCTATGTCGCTCCCGGCCGTCACCGGAAAAAGCACATGGATGGAGCAAAGAGGGTGTTGCGCTACTTGTGAAGTACGTCGGGCATGGGGCTAGTGCTTGGAGGGCGAGTCCCAGTTGTTCTCACTGGGCACTCAGACCCTTCTTGGGCAGACGACCAGGCTACTCAGCGGTCGTCTCAGGGTTACACCTTAAGTCTTGGCTCTGGTTCAGTTTCTTGGCGTTCTACTCGCTCTTCTTCTGTTCTCAGCTCCAGTTGTGAGGCTGAGATCTACGCCACAGCCATGGCGGCCCTAGGAGCTACGCTGGCTCACCTACTTGCTGACCGACCTTGGAGAGCGGCCTCGTTCTCCTCCAGTGCTGTACGTCGACAACAAGGCAGCCATTGCCTTGTGTCGGGAGCACAGACTAGAGCACAGAACGAAGCACATTGCTCTGCGCCACTTCCTTGCTCGAGAGCTGCAGCAGCGTGGTCAGCTTCGTGTGCGTTACGTGGTCTCTAAGGCCAACACTGCTGATGTGTTCACCAAGGCGCTTCAGCCTTGTGACCATCAGTGCTTTTGCACTCTTCTAGGCCTTGTGCCTACTCGTCCTCACTTGTTTACTTCTTGAGTTTGTTTGTGCTCTGATCTCTATATATACATACCTGCATGTTTACTCTTGCTAGGTTGTGATCATTGTACCTCTAGTTCTATTTTAAACCTGCATGTGAACTGGTCTTGTGACCACTTGCTTGTGCTCGGAATTTGTGTGGTATCCTTGAGATCCACCCTGAGCTTGTTTTGCCTTGCTTTGCCTTGACTGGTCTTGTGACCCCTAGTTCTCCCCCACTTTGCCTATGGGGGTGTGTCAAACATTATATATGTTCTGTTGTTTAGGCTACAGTGGGTTAGCCTATAGGGGGTACACAATTCTAGGGTTAGGTATTTGTACTGTTTTCACTGTTAGTTCTTTCATTTCAACAATGACTAACACTTAGCCCTATTACACTGAATCAGGGGCCATAAAACAATAACTATGAGGCTCTCAGTGATGAAAATTTGACAACTATGGAATTCCATTTTACACAAAGTCGATGGTCTGATTCGTCAGACTAATCAGACTATTTAGTCTGATACCGTCAGCCGTGCTGGCTGCGCGTCCAGTTAGGATGTGCAGCCATGACTACAAAGTGTCGCATCTTGGCCCTTCTGTGCTGGAAGGGAATTGCTTGGACGCGATTCTGCTTTGTGACGGGAAAAACATCGACTCGGTTGAAATGGCAAGAGTGAAATATACAATTTGGTGTCTTCAAAATTACAATTTTGTAAATGTCATAATGTAAGAGCATGCGCTTATACAAATGACTCAATTACAAGCGCACCTCCCTAAAAAACACTGTTTTATTATAAGCGCATCTGTGCTTTTATCCGGGGTTATACGGTAACACTAGCTAACATGTACCCTGTTAGAGGAAGGATCTCGGATAGGATAGGAGCTGCTTGTCAGAACATTATAGCTTATACATTTGTGTAGGCTGTAGTGGGGTAGCCCATAAGGGGTACAACCCAATAAGGGTTAGTACTTGTATCCAACTCTTTCATAGTTCATTCATTCTCTCGTTTCATTCTGACATGGTATAGAGCTGGTTCCTTCGTGGGAACTGTTCCTAGGGTCCACCAACCTTTTTTTTTTCCTGCCCGGAGCACGCTTGGCCCCTGCCCGAGTCGCGCCCCGAGTCGTCTCCCCTCTAGCGGCCTCTAGCGGCCCCTAACGGCCTCGTCGCGCCGCCCTTTCAGCCCCGTTGCGCCGCCCTTGCAGCCCCGTCGCGCCGCCCTTGCGGCCCCGTCGTGCCGCCCTTGCGGCCCCGTCATGCCGCCCTTACGCGACCCTGTCACGCCGCCCTTGCGGCCCCATCGCGCCGCCCTTGCGGCCCCGTTGCGCCGCCCCTTACGCGGCCCCGTCACGCCGCCCCTTACGCGGCCTCGTCACGCCGCCCTTGCGGCCCCGTCGCGCCGCCACCTTACGCAGCCTCGTCGCCGCCCTTCACTTCGGCCCCGTCGCCACCCTTTCACGGCCTCGCCACCCGCCCTTACAGCGGCCCTGTCACCCGCCCTTCAGTGGCCCAGTCGCCCGCCCTTTCAACGGCCCCACCGCCGCCCGCCCTTTCAGCGGGCCCCGTCGCCGCCCTTTCTGCGGCCCGTCGCCGCCCTTCCCTCGGCCCTTTGTTGCCCTTTTCAGCGGCCAGTCGCCGCCCTTTTCAGCGGCTTGTAACCGCCCTTTCAACGGCCCTTTTGCCGCCCTTCCACGGCCCCGTCGCCGCCTGAACCGCCGAGCAGCCGAGCCGCCCGACCGCCGAGCCGCCCAGCACCCGAGCCGCCCGACCACCGAGCCGCCGAGCAGCCGAGCCGCCCGACCGCCGAGTCGCCGAGCCGCCCGAGCGCCCCACTTGCCTGGTAAGAGCAGATTCTCTGCCACTGCACTGCCCTGCCCCACTGTACTCACTGCCTATCTACTGCTGTTATGGCCTCCCCTAGCGTTCTCACCTTTGACGCTGAGGGTCGGGCAGTTGACTTTGAGGTCTGGGTAGATGATCTGCAGCTTTTCCTATAGTGCGATAGGGCAGACGGCCTCTCCCTGTTTGACCTCACTTCCGGTGCCTCTCCTGCCCCTGCTGCTGATGCTCACAGTGGGCCACGCGTGATGCTGCTGCTCGCCTTGCTGTGCGTCGCAACTTACCGACCACTGAGCATGCACACTTTAGCCAGTACAAGAGTGCTCAGACCTTGTACGACGCTGTAGCTGCGCGCTACTCTTCCCCTGCCACTGCTGCACTGAGCCGCCTCATGCTACCGTACCTCTTCCCTGACCATGATGCCTTTCCCACAATCGCTAACCTCATTACGCACCTCCGCACTAGTGACACTCGCTACCGTGCTGCGCTTCCTGCTGAGTTCTGCGCCAAGAACCCCCCCCACCCCCCCCGATGTACAACACCCTCTACTACATAGTCATCCGGCTCCCTGACTCTCTCCACATAGTCAGGGACCACTTCCTCTCAGTTTGCCCAACCACTGTCACCGTTGACCTCCTTGAGAAGGCCCTCCTAGTGATAGAAAAGAGCATAGTCGCTGTAGGAGCCTCTCGTGGTGACCCTCGCACCCTCTTCTTTGAGGGGTGTTCTCCCTCCCCCCTCTTGCCCTCTGTTGCCTCTGCTGCTGCGGCCGACCTCGTTGGTTTCGAGTCGGTCGGCGCTGCGTCTGCCCCGAGCGGGAGATGCCACACCGCCAAGGGCAAGGGGGGCAAGGGCGCTGGAGGGGCTGGAGGGGGCGGTGGAGGTGGTGGTGGAGGCAGTGGAGGGAGTGGGGGTGGTGGTGGGAGTGGTGCCGGGGGTGGCGGCGGCGGCGGCAGCAATGGAAGAGGCGGAGGCGGTGGAGGTGGCGGAGGGAGTGGAGGCGGCGGAGGTGGCGGAGGAGGCGGAGGCAGCGGTGGTGGCGGAGCGGGTCGCGACTCTGCGCAGAGGAGTGGCTCCGGTGGTGGTCCGCGCCAGCAGCAGCGGAGTGGTGTGACCCTGTCCCCTCAGCAGCTTCGTGAGTGGTACACTGCGCGTCAGCGCGGTGGGGGTTTTGGTCCCTGCGCTTACGTCCTCCGTACCGGCGACCGGGCTTGTGAGCAGTGTGGAGGCCCGCACTCCACACAGCGCTGCTTTGGTCGCTTGACGGACGCGTGGCATTGCCAATTCCCTGAGGCGTCACAGATCCTTCGCTGGGGAGATCTGACTAAGGCCGGGGTTGCTATCTTTGATCTTGACTTTGATGCAATTCTTGCTGCCATGTATGCTATTGATACTAGTGTTTCGGGTGACTGTTACCTGTGTGTACCGCTTGACCCGGGCATTGAGGCCGCTGCTCTAGGTACTGGTGAGGCTGCTGCTCTAGGTGCTAGTGCGTATGCTGTCCCAGGTACCAGTGCGTCTGCTGCCCCAGGTGCTGGTGAGTCTGCTCTCTCAGGTACTACATCGACTCAGGCCTTCCACACCTTCACCCTGGACTCGGGTGCGTCCCGATCCTTCTTTCGAGACCGCACCACTCTTACGCCGCTCAGTCGGCAGATTGCAGTCTCCCTGGCAGACCCCCCTGGGGGTTCTGTCCTTGCTAGCTTCTCCACTGTCCTACTGTGCCTCGCAGCCCCCTCTATCACCCTGTCTGGTCTCTACCTTCCCTCGTTCTCTATGAACTTGGTGAGTGGAGCGGACCTACAGGATAGGGGGGTTGACCAGTTCACTCCTGCGAGTCAGCAAGTGACCCACTGCACGTGTGCTCAGACAGACCGACACTTGGCCACGTTTACCCGTCGGCCAGGGTCGAGCCTGTACACCCTTACTACTGAGTCTCCTGCTGCTGCTGAGTCTGCCCAAGTAGCTGTGTCGAATCAGGTGTTTGCTGCGGCGTCTAGGTCTGGTCCTGAGTCTGCTCCGTGCTCGTGTCGTCTGCTGTCCCATCAGACTCTCCTTTGGCACCACCGCCTTGGTCACCCCTCCTTGCCTTGTCTCCGAGGCATGCCCTCCCGTGTCCTTGTCTCTGGTCTCCCTCAGTCTCTCCCTCCCCTTCCTCCGGGGCCTGGCCCTACCTGCGTCCCCTGCATCGAGGGGCGATTGCACGCTGCCCCTCACTCCTCCGAGTTTCCTCTGACAGAGGCTCCGCTGCAGATTCTCCACATGGACGTGTGGGGCCGAGCCCGCGTCAGTGGGCAGGGGCGAGAGCGGTACATTCTGCTGGTGGTTGACGACTACTCGCGTTACACCACAATCTTTCCCTTGCGCAGCAAGGTTGATAGAATGTTATTGTATACATCACTTTATAACTGCCTACAATGTAGACTTAGTGTAGTTATCTAGCTTGATAGGTGTGCACCTTGCTTCACTTCTTTCATCTTTGTACTTTTGAACCTATAGCGAAACCCTCATTCTCCTTCTCAACTCTCTCAATACTTTCCTTACCCTCGAACTCACTAACCATGGCTCCTAAGTCACGCTAGGATTATAACAAAGGGTGACGCCACTGAGTGTTGATCGACTGGATCCGCGCAGCTTGTCACCAGCTCAGATAGAGTTTCGGCTCAGACTTTCATGTTCTACGTCCGCACTTGGACAGAGGCGGGGAGTTTTCCTCTGCCCGTCTGGGAGCCTTCTGTTGTGCACAGGGCATCCGCCAGACCTTCACACTTCCGGCCTCTCCACAGCAAAATGGGATTGCTGAGCGCCGCATTGGCATGGTCATGGACGTCGCTCGTACGTCCATGATGCATACGGCTGCCCCCCATTTTCTGTGGCCGTTTGCGGTTCAGTACGCTGCGCATCAGCTCAACCTTCAGCCCCGGGCCTCCTTGCCAGAGACCTCCTCCGTCTTGCGGTGGACCGGGAAGGTAGGCGATGCGTCTGCGTTTCAGGTCTGGGGATCTCGGGTGTTTTTCCACGACTTGTCTGCGGACAAGCTGTCCCACAGTGCCGTTCCGTGCGTCTTCCTTGGCTTCCCCCCTGACGCGCCTAGTTGGCAGTTTTACCACCCCACCTTGTGCCGTGTTCTGTCCTCCCAGGACGTCACCTTTGACGAGTCGGTGCCTTACTACCGTCTCTTCCCCTACCGCACTGCGCCCCTCCCCCTGCCGCCGCTCTTCCTTGTGCCAAGTCCTCCCTCGGTAGACCCCCTCCCCCCTCAGGGTCTTGCCCCATCAGGTGTGTCCCAGGTAGACGCAATCAAGCCTGTCGAGGTAGCTGTTGACTCTGGTGCTGCTAGAGGTGCTGAGCCTGCGGGTGCCGGGTCTGGGGGTGCTGAGTCTGTGGGTGCAGAGACTGGGGGTGCTGAGCCTGGGGGTGCTGAGTCTGGGGGTGCTGAGCCCTGGGGGTGGTGAGCCTAGGGGTGCTGAGCCTTGGGGTGCGGAGCCTGGGGGCGATGGGTCTGCTCGTGTGGCCGTCGCCGGTGCTACGTCGAGGCGGGAGCCGCTCTCTCCACAGGAGCTGCGAGAGTGGTATGCCCGCCGCTGGAGACGTGCTGCTGCAACTGAGGGTGCTACTCGGGCTACTGGAGTTGGTCCTGCAGAAGCTGCTGGCGATGCTGGTGCTGGTGCTGCTGGAGCTGGAGCTGCTAGGGGTGTTGAAGCTAGTGTTTCTACTCGCGGTGGTGCTTCTCGGGGTGCTGTTGAGGCTGCTGGAGCTGACGGTCCTACTGGAGTTGATGCTGCTGGAACTGGAGCTGCTGGGGGTGTTGGCTCTGGAGGTTCTGCTGGCGCTGGTGCTGCTGCTGGAGGTTATTGGTGCCGTCCTTGCTGGTTCTGGAGGCGCCGAGCGGCCAATGCCGTACTTTGTTCCGCTCCTAGAGCAGGTTCTTGGTCTCCTGCCCTCTCCTGGTCCTGCTCCTCCCTTAGCGTGTCCACAGCCTGTCCAGTCGCAGTCACAGTTACAGCCCGCCTCCCCTCTTCCTGCTCCTTCTCCCTACACTGGTCCTACTGGAGGTCTTGTTGAGCGTTGTGAGCCTGCGTCTCGTCCTGCGTCGGCGGTTCGTGCTGCTCGCACTAGTGGCCGTGCTCAGCGTCCTCGGCACACACAAGATGGCACTGCGTCCTTCCACTGCTCCTCTGCGTGTCCCGTTGACGTCTCCTCTAGAGTCCTCTCTTCCTTCTCTTGCTGACCTGGAGTCAGACTCCCTTTGTACTGCTAGTCCTTCGCTCACGCGCTTTCTTGCTATTGGTGTCACTGACCCTTCCTTTGAGTCCACTGCTGGGTCTGACCTAGTTACTGAGCTTGTCAACTTCGTTGCTCGCTGTCGTCCAGACTATGTTTCCAGTCTCGTTGCTGAGTCGGAGTCTGTGTGTCCTCTGTTTGACGGGGGTGAGTGTGCTCTTAGCACGGATGTCCTTGAGGACAGGCAGGAAGAGTTCCAGTGCTTTGCTACTGCTTTGACCCATCTCGTGTCCACGCTGATTGCCCCTGAGGGAGAGCCGGATGCACTAGACATCCCGACTCCTCGATCGTACGCTGAGACGATCGAGGGTCCCTACTCCTCTCAGTGTCACTCAACCATGGAGACAATGATGGCTTCCTGGAAGTCCACAGGCACCTACGTCGACGAGGTTCCCCCACCTAGGGCGAGCATCGTCAGTGGCATGTGGATCTTCAAGGTGAAGCGGCCGCCGGGTTCTCCGCCTGTCTTCAAGGCGCGTTACGTGGCTCGAGGCTTCAATCAGCGGCAGGGAGTTGACTACTTTCAGACCTTCTCTCCCATCCCGAAGATGACCACTCTTTAGGTGCTCCTGCACAAAGCTGCTCAGTGCGACTACGAGCTTCACTCTCTTGACTTGAGCACAGCTTTTCTGCAGGGCAGCCTGCACGAGGAGATCTGGCTGCGCCGCCCTCCTGGCTTCACTGGGTCGTTTCCTCCTGGTACCCAGTGGAGCCTCCGGCGGCCAGTCTACGGTCTCCGCCCGGCGCCCCGTGAGTGGCACGACACACTGACGACTACACTTGCGGCTCTTGGGTTTGCTCCTTCTACATCCGACCCGTCGCTGTTTCTATGCACCGCCACCTCTTTGCCGCCGTTCTACATCTTCGTGTACATCGATGACTTGGTCTTTGCCACTGCTGACACTGCTGGACTCGCCCATGTGAATTCCGAGCTGCAGAAGAGACACACGTGCACAGACCTGGGTGAACTGCGCAGCTACCTTGGCTTGCAGATCACTCGGGACAGAGCATAGCGCACCATTACCCTGACTCAGTCACACATGGTGCAGCAGGAGCGCTTCGGCTTCACGTACTCCTCGCCTTAGGCCACTCCTCTGTCTACTCGCCACCCGCTCTCAGCTCTGCCTTTGGATGAGTCCATAGAGTCGAGTGGCCCGTACCCAGAGCTTGTTGGCTGCCTCATGTACCTGATGACCTGCACACGACCTGACCTTGCATACCCTCTTAGCATCTTGGCACACTATGTTGCTCCTGAGAGACACCGACCAGAGCACATGGCTGCAGCGAAGAGGGTGTTGCGCTACGTGTGCAGTACGTCGGGCATGGGGCTAGTGCTTGGAGGGCCACGTCAAGTAGTTCTCAGAGGTCACGCTGACGCTTCTTGGGCTGACGACGAGGCTCTGCAGCGGCCGTCACAGGGTTACACCTTCAGCCTTGGCTCCGGCTCTGTTTCGTGGCGGTCTACCCGCTCGTCTTCTGTTCTCAGCTCCAGTTGTGAGGCTGAGATCTACGCAGGGGCCATGGCTGCATAGGAGCTATGCTGGCTCACCTACCTGCTGACTGACCTAGGAGAGGCGCCTCGTTCTCCTCCAGTTCTGTACGTAGACAACAAGGCCATGCTGGCCTTGTGTCGGGAGCACAGACTGGAGCACAGAACGAAGCACATTGCTCTTTGCTACTTCCTGGCTCCTGAGCTGCAGCAGCGTGGTCAACTGCGCCTCACCTACGTGGACTCTGAGGCCAACACTGCTGATATATTCACCAAGGCCCTTCCGCCTTGTGATCATCAGCGCTTTTGTACTTTGCTAGGTCTTGTTCCCACCTGGCCTC